GGAAAGAATCATGTACAAAAATACTGGGTGAATGCTACAAGATATCAACTCACCTCAATAATACCTCTTCCAGGACCAGTTGGGAGTACACCGTAAGGAAACAAATAAAGATTAAGTCCAACTGCTTCAAATATGTCTCTAAGAAGCGCAATCACTTGAAGAGCAAGAACATCTTGACGACAATCATCTCCAACCTTTACAGTAAAGAGCTCAGTTAACTCATGTATGAAGAACAACCCCACTTCTAAATCAAGAAGCAATCATGATACCAGAATAGGTATTTTAATTTTAATAAGCTAAAGATAACGTGCATAGCAAAATCATAGGAAAAGTTCAGCCAACTTGAATTAGGTGATCTCAGTTTGCAATATGTGGTAAAAAAAGGAGTATATACTACTCGTACATCTCAAAACCATAATACTGGGATCTGAGACACAGGAAAAATAAAAGACATTCAATATGTATAGGAGTAAGCATACCTTGAAAATGCAAGCTTGTGGTTTTATATCATTATGATCCCCATCCCGATCAACTACATTAAACGTAATCATGATGGGAACTTTGGCTGCTGACTGCAAGGGAATTCCACTATCTACCTGAATGCCCCTAACAAGCTTGTTTGGCGCTGTTGGTAGATAGAGATCTTCTCCTTCCATTTCAATTTTCTCCAACTCTCTGTTAAAGCAAGTTAACAAATAATTTCAATCATACCAGATGAAACTTAATATGCACAAAAAAACCCAAACAATTGCTAAATTGAAGTAAACCTCCGTATGCCAGCTCGTCTTTCATCTTTGGGAAGTGGAAAGAGTACACCAGAAATAGATGTGACCTTGTCGAAAAAATCAAACTCTCTTTTGAACAAGTCAAATGCCTTTGGGGAGAAACCATCAATAATCCGTTCCCTAACGATTGGCAAAAGTGCTTGGAAGGAACTATTCTGAAAAGACTGCAATAGATACAAGTTATAGAGCTTGATCTCAGTTTAGGAAAATAAAATGCAGCAGGAGAAACACAAACCATATTTACTCGCTTCTTATATATATGAATCAAACGTTAGATGATAGGTCTACCAGCTGCTTCATATTTTACGCTCCCTAGAAATGGAGCATCTTGCAAATTATCTTATATAGATAAATATTTACAGCACTATTTAATTTTAAATTACATGGTTCTCACTTATTGTTATGAAATCAAGTTTTCAAGCCATATCTTTAACTAATGTAAATCAGAAGCATGTGTTATGTTGAATAAAAGCAAACAAAGCGTACACGGTTGGCTGCACTTGACATGATCCATAATAGATAGAAATTTACCTTTCCAGATCCAACTTCTTTCCCTGATTCTGGTCCTGATGCCTCACCCTGTCATTCATAAATTTACTCTTGACATATAGAAAGAAAGATAATTGAAATTGAACGCATAACATGTATACAATTGAACAATGATAGGATTCGAGTAATCTACCAAATTTTTGTACTTATTGACGTGGCAAAGTGAATTTTCCAATTGGCGAATCTACTTGTAGAAAGTTGTCTTTTACCAATTGAAAATGAACAGCACATTTGCCACATCATTTGATATAAAAAATGGTAGATCATTTGGATTCCTTGCATTACCCAAACCCATACAGTTGTAATGACATGGCGCGCAGGAAGAAAATAAAAAAGGTAAAGCACGGTCACTTTAGTCGGCTAAGATTATTGAATTAATCCTACCTGTAAATGCCAGATTAAAATATGGGCAAATACATCACTTCTCTGAGCTGCTCTAAGCAAATATCCTTCTACCAACCTCTGGAAAACAATTTAAGCAGAAATCAGATTAACTGCAGACTAGTTAAAATTACTTGCAAACGGTGTACAGTACATGCAATAAATTAAATCAATCTGAACTCAAAAAAGAATGGCCGGTGAGCAATTTGATATGTAATGACCGATGAGCAATTTGATATGTAATACTGTGCTGCTTTATTGTTGTCTTTATGTAAAAAGATCCTTCAGGTCATCGGAATAAAATCTAATCGTACTTGACAATCTTGCTATGGCTTATAGGACAAGAAATATTACTCTGGGATTTAGATTTTCAAGAATCAAGGTTTCTGATTAGAAGTCAGATACTGCTAACCAATATCTTCATAATAGTCAGAATCTTCATAATGACTCACCCCTTCATCATATCGCAAAGCCTGAACTAGCTGTGGCATGAAGAATGTTACTCGTTCTGGAGGATAGGATTCCAAAACTCTAAGAACATATGCCATGACACGTGGATGCCCTTTATATGCAGGGGTCAGGAACTCAAGAGCTTGCGTGATGGAACAAGCTGCCCAGTGTGGCAACTGTTGCAAAAGCACAGAGTTCTCATCTACCGCCTTCGGGGTAACAAAGTATGGCAATGCTTCTGGAATGCAACGGATATCCAATATATGCAACTGCAACAAAAAATACAAGAGGAAGCACAATGCAATGAAATAAAAAATGAATGTGTGAAAGTACTATATGTTTCTTGTGTGACTAATAATCGTACTCCTACATTAGCTTTATATCTTTCTCAGGGAAGTATTATAATCATTCTACATTTAACTTTACTGATAAAATATAAGCAAAGATGCCTTAATCAAGGTGTGCGCCAGAAGCTTCTAGTTACACCAAGATGTCTCTCAATCTCAATTATTTTTTGGAGACTCAACTCTAAAACTCTAAGAACATATGCCATAACACGTGGAAGTCTACCACCAGAGTGTGACCTTCACTCCACATGTACGGCAGAGAAACTTCTTATAAATACACATGACAATAATGCTCAAGTCCAAATTGGATGGAGATCAAACCAGCGATCCATTATAAATGAAGAAAAACCGGTTATTAACATTAACATATTATAAATTTCTAAAAGTTTATACAAATGAACGTTACATAACTTACTCCACCCGTAGAGAAAAATTATCTACTTCTTATTGTAAGTAGTACTTTGCATTTTGATATGCCTATTGTAAGTCATGCAGCTTGAGATCAAAAGTTGGTCTAAAAGTCAGTTTAAAATCTTCGAGTAAAGGAAAGTTAAGGCAAAAAAAAAGGGTCAAAAATGCTGCCCATGTAGATAGTGAATTAGAACTCAAGAAAAAGGAAGTACAGTAGTCTAAAAGACTCAAAACATTCAAGGATTTTAGGTTGTTCTGTCTTCTCTTGTGAATATGACATCCTCCTACTTTATTGCTAACACAACGTATGTAATTGATATATTTCAGCATTTTTCTGTTTCTATCTTCCTACACAGAATTTTATTGTGGAATAGAAGTTACTTGAAGTCAGTTTCAAATAGAAAAAAATAAATAAATAAATAATATCATCCATAAACCATCTTCCAGCTGTTTGCTGCTTAATCAATTATGCATAAATAATCAAGTCACCAATATAAAAATAAATTTCAACACAACATCTATCTTATCTAACCCCACTCTTTATTCCCACAATTATCTTAACTAAAATAATCGTCCTTTATAATAGCCATCTAGCATGAAACAAACCTGAACTACATTTGTTACTTCAGCCTTCAAGGATGTGTTTGTTGAGAACCTTGAGGCCAACGATAAAGCTATACGAGGATCCACAGAGAAGGCAGTCCTAGCATATTCAATCCATTTATCTGAGCTAATTTTAGGCCGAGAAGGAGTGCTGTCCCTGAAAATAAAATCAAAACATGAAAAGCAATCAATTAACATTCATTCGAGAATCCAAGTATTGAAAATGTATCAAGAAAAAAGTCAAATATACAATAGCTTCAGGAGTAGAGGCTACTTTGAATTTGTGGGCTGAGCCCAAACTTCCAGCCTATCAGCCTCATGCTGACATAGCATTAGAAGTAACAACTTCCTCTTTTCTCTTCCGGCGGCATAGTTCTCCATCTGGCCCCAGACAGGGTGATGTTGATCTTTCTGCACATAATAAGCACTTCATTATACGTATTGCGCACAGGTCATGCACAATCCGAATGACAGGAAAACCCAACAAAATGTTATGTATAATTTCTAGGGGTCCAATATTTCAGTGTAAATAGAGTTTAAAACTTTGTGTCGTAATTTTTTTATAAGAAAAACTGTGTAGTAATATACATCTGCAAGTATATCACTGTACCACATCAACGACACTGTTCCCATTTTCACGTCCCCGTCCCTTGGAATCAGATTGGGCTGTATCTACCCGCTCACTGGAAAGGTAGTCCACAAATACAGCGACGGACTGAGCCTCGCTCTGGGCGAAACTCATATTGTTGACATCATACCATTCAGGAGCATGAGCAAACCAACCTAATGAGGCACTGTATTATAACAAAGGAGAACTTTCAGTTTCAAATCGAAGATGATGCACAACAGAAATTCAAATAGACAAACAATACTGAGAAACCTACTTGCCCTAGTGCCAGACTTTATGTTAACATGTATGTCAACAAGGGTCATTAGCATGGTTAGCGTAAATTCAAACAATGCAAGTCCTCAATGTAGAAGTTTGAAAAACCAGACAAAACTCCTAAACTTGCATATTAGTTTAATGTGAAAAGAAGACCTTGTTATCTGAGTTATCTTATTAGTTCTCCTGAATTTTCATGTGGACAAGGATTTCTAGGTATCCTCAGCAAAAGAAATCTATATCCATATATAAACTTACATTGAAACATGCAGTTGAAGTTACACATGACTACACCTAAACTCCTCTCCTCTAAACCAAAGAAGGGAGAGGAGATAGACTATTCAATGTTTTAGTTGCATGAACATGCATCACATTTTAAGCCCAAAAAGTGTCATAGCACACATTCAGTTACACAGGCATCTTGAACAGAGAAAGACCTCAAACCAGTTGGGGAAACAATTTAAAAATGAACTAAGATGTTGTTTCCATGAAAGGAAAAGCACTATTGTCAATACAAGTATCAGATATAGGTCAAGGAACGACGTTGTTACAAGAGAACGTCAATAAGTCCAGTGATAAGTGAGAACTGAGAATGCAAAGCAAATTGAGGGGGAAAAGCAAAGGATCGTAGCTAACCGATAAATCCGGTCTTCCAGCAGCTGCAGCCCTGTTTTGAAATTCAGCAGATTTCCCTGCGACTGGCATGAGCAGAACTTAAGACCGAGAAGCATAATAGTGAAAAAGGTTCCAGTGGCAGCAGGATGCAGTGAAAAATTCCATGGGACCTTAGTTGTCCCTTGTAACATTCGACCAAGAAGCAAGAGTTGCTCAACACTATTATGTCGAACTACCTAAAAACAAACAGACAAATAAAGAATAAAAGTCATCTAAAATATCATAAAAAAGAGCATAACACATACAAACAAAAACACACGATGAACTACATTCATACCAAGATGACGCCGTTAAAAAGTGGATTATATGCGTAACATACAGAGACAACAGACAACTTGCTCAATTAGGCAAACATAAATTTAACATTATACATGTCAGACATGATTACGGTATAGGCTTGAAACAAACACCAATACAAAGGAGGCTTGGGGAGCACATTATTTTCAATAATACACCATGAGAAGGAACATTATATTTATCAGAAGCAACATACAGCAGTATTATTTCCCAAGTAGAAGTCCAACAATTAAGTTATAAAAATAAAAATAAATAAATAATTTATGGAATAACTAATTTGATATCTTTACTAATAAAAATAGTCTCATTATGTAACTGGCGAAAACACTTTCACTAAGCGCTGATAACGTGGCAGAAAAAAAAATGCTATGTGCAACATGATACTCACTTGTTAATAATAGTTATTTTTCCTCCATATGAAATGCTAGTGATATAACTTTATTTTCTCTCTGTTGTTTTCTTTTTTTTTGGTGGGGGGACTCCAAGCCATAGTCCAGAGCAAGAAAGGGAAAATGGTGAAATCTAAATGCTAACCTCAAAGCGGTCTATGAAAAATCCAAGCCATAGCCTATGAGCCATTATTTGTTCAACAGGATCAATTTCAGGTGGCCCCTCTGGCTCTCCAGGCGCAAGGTGAGGCCTTAATTTTGCAGCAGGCCCAGAATACTTAACATCAGATGCAAAGAGACCTCGTTTTGTATCAATCGTCCACAACCATGCATCAACAAGCTCCGCAAGGACAAGAGAACCCAATTCAGGAGCAGCAGAAACTAACCAAGTCCAAATGAAAACACCAGTTTCCATTGCGTCTTGGGTACAAATATAAGCTGGACACCAACAGAGAAGACGGAGAAGTTGTGAAAATCCCTCTACATTTGATTTTGTATCAGATCCCTGAAAAGGATAAATTAAAAATTCAGGTACAAGAAAATACCCGCCAAAAACTAGAAATACATGGATAAGGGTAGGAGCATATATTCTTTTACCAGATTTGATAAAAGTAATGCAGTCGCCTGGGAACAAGTTTCCCGAAATTGTGCCTTGTCCACTTCCCCACCTTTCTCTGCAATATTAACACATTTTTGAAGTAAACGCACAAACTTGGTCAGCAACATCCCATTAAATGAATTATCCTCAGCTTGTGAAGGTTGAGGAAATGCTCCAGATATCAACCTCTGGAGGCCAACACCAAGTCCAAAACCACTCAGTGTACTACCAGATTCGAATCCACCAATACTGTTATACAACCTTCTCATGCCAGCAATTTCTCCGGCATGGTTGCACTTCACCGTTGCACTGACTATTCCAGTACTGAGCACCTCCAAATTGAAGGCTTCTGTCAATTTTAAGTTGGCTCCGGATGCTGCTGATGCAGCAGCCATAACAGCAGGGATATTTGCAGTTCGTATGCCTGTCCAGCACTCATTTTTTGCTGTACCAATACGTATCTCAGATAGAAGAGAGACCACATCTGTTGTGTGTTGTGCTCTTTGCCATGTGTTTGCCTTACAAAGTTTGTCCTGAAGTATACATATGAAAATTGAAACCACTAAAATCAAAGATATCAACAAGCAAAATAAAAGATGGACATCTAAATATGAACACCCACTGAACTCAATGACAACATGTTAAAGTGAAAGATGCAACATCTCAATATAAGAATATTCTGAAGAACTTGCATAAAATAAACCATCATACTTATTTGAAGATGGCCGAAATAAGTTGACTGGGCATGCATGGTATAACAGCTTTAACTACATAATATATGTAGTGTATACATATGAAGAAATCAATGGGAATAATTCTGATTATTCTCATTCCAGAAAATAATGATTTACATCCTAATATATAGGCTAGGGTGGCTGGCATACCAGTCCACAGAAAAAGAAAAATAGAATCCCTGTAAATCAGGAATTCCACCAAAATAGGAAAACGGGAAACTACAAAATCTAATTAAGAAAAACAGAAACTAAAATATAGAAACTGAAATCTATTCTAAGAAAATAAATAACTTCCTAACTAAATACAAGGGTCGACTACTTTCTACACTCCCCCTCAAGCTAGGCTGTATATACTATATATTATACAAACCAAGCTTGGAGTTCAATTCATCAAAGCTGACCCTTGGTAGTGCTTTGGTGAGAATGTCAGCAATCTAAAGTCTTGTTGAAACATAACTTAGCTGCACAATCCCGTTGTTGACCTTCTCTGAGATGAAGTGTCGATCAATCTCGATGTATTTTTTTCTGTCATGATCCACAGGATTTTTGGCTATGCTAATAGCTGCCTGACTGTCACTAAACACCTTGACTGCGTGCCTCGTCTCAACCTTAAGCTCCCTTAATAGCCTTTGAAGCCACATTCCTTCACATATTCCTAGTGCAAGAGCACGATATTCTGATTCTGCACTACTCCGAGAGACAACAGCTTGCTTTTTGCTTCTCCAAGTGACGAGATTTCCCTAGACGTATGAACAGTAACCAGTGGTTGACCTTGATAAGCCCCCTGTGCGTTTTACGTATGCTCAGAGGAAGCACAAGCACCACCACGTGGCAAGTTCGAGAGCTAAGGAAGGAACTGTAGGAGGAGGAACTGGACGTGTGAGTTTGGCTGAGTCAGCAAATGGTTAGTTGTTAGTTACTTCTTGGGATGGGAGAAAGAATAAGGGATAGAGTCTATAAATAGAACAAGGGGTAGAATAAGGGGGCATCTGAATTCTGTTGTAACTTCCGAGAGAAGAGAGTTGGAGAGCAAGGGATCTCTCGAATATCCCCATATACATTCTGTAACCTCCGTCCGCCATTAATTCAATCTAGTTTTCCTGACAGTGTTCTACTGTTTTCTACCTTAATTCTCTATACTGTGACTTGGAGCTTAACATTTGGTATCAGAGTGCTTTCCTGGATGACAAGGAGGACCGACGATCGTGAAAGGGAGAGTTCAGAGGGAACGAGAGAAGAGTTCGCAAGGGAATTGGAGGAGGTGCGAGAGGAATTGAAGAAGATTCCTCGGCTGGAGCAAGGTATGGACTTGTTGTTAGCAAGAATGGAGGAATTGATGAATCTACAGCGTCAAGAACGACAGGACCATCAGACGACCAAAGTGGGAGCACCGGCGAGGCAAACGACGCCGGGGGAAGAGACGGGCGAGAGAGTCAGACAAACGCGTGAATTTGGAAATCGCGTAGATTGTCGGACTAGGCGAGTGGAGATGCCGACGTTTGACGGCGAAAATCCCGATGGCTGGATCTTTAGGGCTTAAAGGTATTTCACGATGAACGGGTTGTCGGAGAACGAAAGGTTGGATGTAGCAGTTTTTAGTCTTGACGGGGAGGCCCTAGCGTGGTTTCAATGGGAGGATGGCCGACGGATGATTCGGAATTGGGCCGAATTGAAGGTGATGATATTGGAGCGTTTCCGACCAACACAGTAAGGCAGTTTGTGTTAGAAGCTGTTGTCGTTACGGCAAGATTCGTCGGTGAGGGAATACCGGTGGAAATTCGAGGTCTTGGCAGCTCCGTTGAAGGATATCTCCGAGCAGGTTCTGGAGAGTTCCTTCGTTAATGGTTTGAAACCAGAGGTGCGAGCAGAGATTAGGTTGATTAACCCCATGGGACTAGGGAGAATTATGGAGGTATCCCAGAGGGTGGAAGAGCGTAATCTGTTGGTACGCGGCCCAAAAGCCCAAGGCCCACAGTACTCAAGTTGGGGAAAAGGCAATATGTTTAATGAACCTAAAGGAGGACCAACATCTTCCAGTGCTGGAAGTGGTATCCGTTTCAGTGGGGCACCGACTGAAAAAGGGAAGTATCTGGAGGAAAGGAAGGCGAGTGGCACAGAAGCAGCGCCATTTCGGCGAATGACCGACGTGGAGTTGCAAGCTAAGAGGGAGAAAGGTCTGTGTTACCGGTGATGGGAAACATTTCTTTGGCCACCGTTGTCCGAACCGGGAGTTGCAAGTCTTGATCGTCCGAGAAGAGGAAGAACAAGTTGAAGTAGAGGAAGAAAAGGAAGAAGCGGCTGACGAGGAAGAGATGGTGGAATTGTCTCTCAATTCAGTGGTTGGGTTGACTGCTCCAAAGACCATGAAGCTCAGGGCGGTCGTCCATGGGTGCGAGGTAATTGTTTTAATAGATAGTGGTGCTACCCACAATTTTATTTCGTGTGATTGGTTCAGAAACTGAATTTGCCGGTGGATAAGACAGGAGGTTATGGGGTGGGGATGGGAACCGGTTTGGTGGTGAGAGGAGAGGGTATTTGCTGGGGGGTGATGGTTTCCATGCAGGAGATTGAGATAGGTGAAAATTTTTTACCTTTAGAGCTAGGAAGTTCGGATTTGATATTAGGTATTCAATGGTTGGAGACGTTAGGGGTTGTGTCTGTGAATTGGAAAACTTTGTTGATGAAGTTCAGCTTGGGAGGGAGGCAGGTTACATTAAAAGGAGATCCGGGGTTGAACAAGTCGCCAGTAACGCTCAAGGCTTTAATGAGAGCTTTGAGGCACGAGGGGCAAGGGGTTTGGGTAGAGTTAGGGGCTCTTGGAGTGGAACAGACAGTCAAGGAGGAAGAAGTTCCTCTGGAACTGCAAGGGGTGCTGAGTAGTTTTGGCGAGGTTTTTGAAATGCCAGAAGGGCTGCCACCGATTAGAACCAAGGACCATGCAATTGTTTTGAAGGAGGGAACTTCACCAATAAGTGTTAGACCATACCGGTACCCTCACATCCAGAAAACGGAAATTGAGAAATTGGTTGGGGAAATGTTAGCGGCAGGTATCATACAAACCAGTGTTAGTCCATATTCTAGTCCGGTTCTGTTAGTAAAAAAAAAGACGGTAGTTGGAGATTTTGCGTGGATTACCGCGCTCTGAACAGAGAGACAGTTCCCGATCAATTTCCGATTCCGGTGATAGAGGAACTGTTGGATGAATTGCATGGTGCAACGGTCTTTTCCAAGATCGACCTTAAATCGGGTTATCATCATATTAGAATGAAAGACGAGGATGTACCAAAGACAGCATTCCGTACACATGAGGGACATTACGAATTTCTTGTTATGCCCTTCGGTCTTACGAATGCTCCCGCGACCTTTCAATCGCTCATGAATGACGTCCTTCGCGCTTTTCTCCGTAAGTTCGTACTCGTTTTTTTTTATGATATACTCATTTACAGCCACTCTTTGGAGGAGCATGCAGTTCATCTTGGCCGGGTATTGTCGGTGTTGCGGCAACACCAATTATACGCCAATGCTAAGAAGTGTAGTTTCGGGCAGCAATCAATTGAGTACCTTGGCCATATAGTGTCCGCTGAGGGTGTTTCGGCTGATCCGGCTAAGATAGAAGCCATGGTAAGTTGGCCTCCTCCTGCCGATTTGAAAGAGTTACGGGGATTTCTCGGCTTGACGGGTTATTAGCGGAAGTTCGTAGCGGGGTATAGTCAAATTGCAGGACCCTTAATAAACTTACTCCGGAAGGATAGTTTCCGATGGGATACGGAGGCGTTGCGGGCTTTTGAAAGGTTGAAGTTCGCCATGAGGCGTGTACCGGTGCTAGCGCTGCCGGATTTCACAAAGCCTTTTGTCCTTGAGTCGGATGCTTCGGGGTTTGGAGTGGGGGCAGTTTTGATGCAAGACCAGCGCCCTATTGCTTATTTCAGCCAGGTCTTATCAGCTCAAGCGCGGACCAAATCTGTTTATGAACGGGAATTGATGGCCATTGTTTTGGCCGTTCAAAAGTGGCGGCCGTATCTCTTAAGGCATCATTTTTTTATTCGAACGGATCAACGCAGCCTTAAGTACTTGTTAGAGCAACGCCTAGTTAGCATGGAACATCAAAAGTGGCTTACCAAGTTGCTAGGGTATGACTTCGAGATTCAGTATCGGCCGGGGGTGGAGAATAGAGCAGCGGATGCCTTGTCACGGCTAGCGGTGGGTCCAGCTATTGCCGCCTTAGTGGCGTCCACATTTGTCAATACCGAAGAGCTCCATCAACAAGTGTTGCAAGATGAACGATTGGCAAAAATTTGGTCGGACTTACCTCATAATCCGGCAGCCTATCCGAGGTATTCCATCCGACAAGGCCGATTCTAGTATAAGGGGATGATGGTGGTGGCTCGTACTTCTCCGGTTGTACAGCGGTTGTTACACTCTTATCATAACGGGGTGTTTGGGGGCCATTTGGGGGGCTTGAAGACCTACCGCCGTCTTGCGGCCGATTGGTTTTGCTGGGAATGAAGCGGGATGTAACCGCGTATGTGGCCCGTTGTGAGGTATGTCAACAATGTAAAGCATCCACACTGGCTCCTAGTGGATTGCTGCAGCCCTTACCCATTCCAGAACAGGTGTGGGAAGATGTCCATGGATTTTATTGAGGGCCTTCCTCGTTCGGAGGGCTACGACACTATCTTGGTGGTTGTTGACCGTTTGAGCAAATATGGCCACTTTATCGCCTTGAGACATCCGTTTTCTGCGGAGAAAGTGGCCACGCTGTTTGTCCGAGAAGTCGTGCGGTTGCATGGGGTCCCCCG